TAAATATTAAAATTTTATTAATAATAAAAATCTAATATAAATTTGCAAAAAATATAACAAAAATATTACTAAAACTTATTGATTAATTTTCTATTAAAAATAGAAAAAATCATATAAAAAATAATAAATAATAATAAAATAATAAAATATAATCCACTTTTCTTATAAAATCATTTGAGATAATTCTAAATATTATATTAATATTCAAATAAATAAATAAAATAATAAAGTATATAATAAAAATATAGTATATATAACTTAGTCATAATAAATAAAATTAATAAAATTCAAATTACTATTATTAATTTAAAAAATAATAATCATAAAATATAACTTTGAAATAATAAAATTAAATCAGTTTATTATTTTTTAAAGAATAGTAATATTTTAAAGTTGAGAAATTTTACTATTAATCAGATTTTTTGCTTATACTATAACATGATACACATGATTAAATTCTTATTTTTAATTCACTAATTAACATTAATTATCACATTTATAATATAATTTAATAGAGAATAAAACTTTTTTTTCATTTTGTTTTGAAGTAAAAAAGCATGTAAATAATACATAATATATGATACTAATTTTAATAATTAAAAAAGGATTTATGTGTATAGGGTATTAATACATATAATCTTCTCTAAAATTTTTAGAGAAGATTATATATATTAATACCTTACACACATTTTTAAAGATCAAGAGTATAAGGGTTTTTTATTATATTAATTTTTCTTTATTTTACTTACATATAGAATACATTAAATAAATTAATTTCAAATTATTAATTGATTGTAAAATTAATTCAAAAATTTAGTGATATAAAATAATATACAGTATTTTAATATCAAATTTACTGCTTTACCTATTAAGCTTTTTTAATACACATTAATATAATAAAATGATTTTTTGTATACTAATAAATAGTTATAAGTGAGTATTAATGAAATGGTTTTTTTAATTATATTTATAAGTAATCATAAAGTAACTAACTATATTTCTTAGCTACATTCCAAAAGTTTTCAATAAAATTAAACTTATAATAAAACTTAGAATAGAATATAATTTGATGTTTAGCTACAATAATAATCTCTTTTAATTATTTTTTTTATATTAAGAAATCTTATTATTAACTTATTAATTTTTGTACTTTTTTTTTAATTTTAACTTTTTACTCAACTATAATTTTTTTCTTTTAGAACTTATTTTAATCTTTTTTATTATTTATGTAATTTATATATGTGATAATCTAAAGAAAATATTATATTTTGTGAAATTTCTTCATTAAAATATATTTTACATATTTTTAGCTACTTACCTTTAGAGTTAAAATTCATATATTTAATAAATGCATCTAATGAATGTAGAATAACTTAACATATTATCAAATATGAACAAGACCTAATATCTTAAAAAATATGCTTCAAATATTAGAATAGTATGTTTCACTATCTGATTTACTAAATTATCAGCTTTTTACCATTTATCATTATTTTTACCTGAGTATATAAAACGTAAACTTCTCTAAGAAAATTATTCAACATTTTATGCTTTATATTAGCAATCAAATAGATTAGGTAAATATATCTGTATATAATTTTTTTAATATAATAAATTATAATAATTCAAATTGAAATTAATAAAATAAAATCATGTGATTTAACTAGATCATTTAACTATAACTTAATTTTTACAATCAATGCTAATTAGTTTCTTAATCATAAAAAAGTCACATAATATTGAATCAAGTAGATGTTATAAGTAATAAATAGAATAAAGCAATAAAAATACTTAGATAATTACAAAATAATAAAAAAAATCATAAAGCAATAAAAACAAATAAATATCTATATAATAATTAAAAATCATAAAATATTATTATATTATAGTTAAATCATCTATTTCAAGTAGATTATATTATCTTTTCTAAGTAAATTTTATTACTTACTGTCTTAAGTAGATTATACTACCTATCTTAAGTAGATTATATTATTTATACTTAATTAAGTAATAACTAAATTATAATATATAAATTGTAATATAATACAAACTTAAAAAAATTAATTTTAATTATATAAAAATATAATTTAATATATATTTAATAAATTTATTTGAAGATATTTTATATTTATTAATTTTAAATTTTAATTTTAAAAAATTTATTATAATAGAATAGTTTTTTAAAAATTTTCTTAAATTTTATAAAAATTAAAATTTTTAGCTTATAAGTAATTTAGATTTTTTTTTATTATATAATTAATACAAATATATATTTATAAAATTAATTTTAAAAAAAACTTTAATTTTTATAAAAGTAAATTAAAAGAGAATTTATAATAAATAAAACTCTTATAATTTAAAAAATAAAATTAAATTTATTGATACATTTTATAAAAGAAAGTATAATATAATATCAATAATTTTTAAACTTGTTTTTAGTTTATAAATAAATTTAACTATTTGTTTATTTATAATTAAAAAAGAAATAAAAATTTTAATTTTTTTTTTTTTTTATTTGCATTATTATAATTTTATTAACATTAGAATGAATTTTAATTAGTTTTAAATGATTTTTTTTTATTCATATTTTAATCTTTTTATAAGATCCTAAAATCTTATATTTTAAAGTAATACAACAATAAAACTTAATTTTTAGATATGATTTTAAAAGATGCATCATCTTATATTCAAATATTTATATTATTAAATCATACATTTTTATTCAATAATAAATTATTAAATAGATTATGTTCCTAATTCTAATTGCTTATATATAAACAACGAACCCAAATCATTTTATTGAATACATTTGTTAATTTAATAATAAAAATAGATCGTTTGAGATTCGAATAAAGAAAACAAATAAAGAACTACTAAACCACCATTTCAAACGACACCTTATTGTATATATTGCTCTAATACAATAATAATAGTAGTAATAATAATAATAATGATGATGATAATAATAATAATAATAAGCCAAACCCAGATTCTACAAATGCTCTATATTTATCCTTATCTGAGTGAACAAAAATGAAATGAAATAAATGTAAATAAAATAATGATCAAATTATTTAAACCAGACATCCCATATATATATATATTTTTTGACACTCAAATTATTTCATTATAATTTTAAGGCACTCGAAAAAAAAATCGCTAAAGGGATGAACTGTTTTATATAATAATATATATATTGAAATGCTAAAATGATATTAAGCTTCTTCTTTTGGCTCAGTGGTCTCTTCTTCTTTCGGAGCTTCGGTCTTTTCAGCTAAACAAAAGAAAAAAATATATTATTAACCTAAAAAAATATATTTTATATATATAAATCAAAAGGATTATTATATGCAATTTAACATACTGCTGTCCTGCATATCTGACGTCCAAAGTGTCAAATTATCTCTCAATAGCTGCATAATTAATGTTGAGTCTTTATAGCTTTCTTCAGAAAGAGTGTCTAATTCGGCAATAGCATCATCAAATGCTTGTTTGGCCAAATGACAGGCTTTATCAGGAGAATTCAAAATTTCATAATAAAAAACTGAAAAATTCAAGGCCAACCCCAATCGAATCGGATGAGTTGGAGCAAGTTCAGTGACTGCGACTTCACTAGCAGCTTTATACGCATCCAAGGATTTGTCTGCAGATTGACTTCTCCTATCACCAGTAGCAAATTCTGCGAGATATCTATGATAGTCACCTTTCCTAAAATAGATAAACATATAAATAATATTAAAATATATTTGTAATAATGAAATAAATAAAAGTAAAATTATTACAAACATTTTATGGTAAAATACTTTAGATTCACCGGTAGCAGCTGAAGGAATTAAGTGATTGTCCAGTACCTCCAAGATATCATCACATATTTTGGTCAATTCTTCTTCGATCTTTGAACGATATTCTTTGATGAAGCCAACCTGAGTCTCGTTCCCTTTAGATTCTTCTTTTTGTTCGATTGAGGAGACAATTCGCCAAGAGGCTCTTCGGGCTCCAATTACGTTTTTGTAGGCAACGGACAAGAGATTGCGTTCTTCAACAGTTAGTTCTTGATCAGCAGAAGCGACTTGTTTCATGTTTTCGACCATTTCTATTATATAATTTGTGATTTTGAGTTGAACATTATTATTATTTTGTTGATCATTCTTATATTTGAGTCTACTTTATAACATTACTTCCTAGACTATAATGACATGGTTCTTATACGAGTATTCTTGTATTTGCACGCGAACAGATGACCAGTAACCTATACCCACAGTCATAACTTATATTCAACAAGTTAATATACTTTTCATTGCTTATTTTGAATGAACCTTAGTCCGAAAGAATTACATAACCATAATCCAATATAGATTCTCAAAGAATTAACACGTTCAATAGGTGAACATAGATGATACCGGATGCTTAACTGATTTCACCAATCCTCACCTTCATAACGCTCAGCCTGCTCAGCGAGCTTGGCGAGGTAAACGTAATCTTCGCGTGTTTGAGATTCAACCATATTTAACAAATGTTAATATTATTTAAAATAAATATAGTAGGACAAATTGCTTGGATACGAAAGACGAAAGTGTTAAAAATGAAAATGAAAACTAAAATAAATAAATGTTTGGCAAAGAATGAGAACCCTTTTTCTATAACCAATAGATGGATTGGTGTGAGTGACCAAATAATACTAATTCGAGCAAACGTTTGGTGTTTTGATAAAAATCGAACTTTACATCATCGGTCACACACATCACATGAATGAAGAAACGTCATCAAAGATAATTTTTTACATTATTTTTTTTTTATTTATTTTCATAACTGTATATAAATTCAATAACGGAAACGTTATATTATCTACAATACTTTTGCTTGCAATAAAAGATTATAATTATTTAAAAATGCAATAATTATGCAAAAGCATATAAAGTAATAAAATAAGGCATAATGAGTTCAATCATCAATTAACCATAAGTTTAAATAATTTTGAATAAAAATTGTTGGTTTATCATTTAACGACCAAACAGAGAGCTCCATCCTTGCGGTACAGCCCACCCATGCTGATTAGCGACTCGTATATACGCATCAATGGCTTCCTATAAATTTAAAAAATATCGTTTTGCTATTTATACAAAATAATCGTACTATATAAGTGAATATACTTACCCCAGGACTATATTCGCAATTCCAATTACGATCAAGCCTTGCTGGTTTTGGATCCAAAGAACTCAATGCTATCTTGATCTGAAAGATTTTTAATTGATTTATAAATCATCATGGTAAATAAATAACATTAATAATTCTAATACCTGTAATAATACAGCTTCCATAGCATAAACAGATGACCATCCACGTTCACGTTCATTTCCAAGGGTTAAGAGATCCATGCATATAGATCCTCCGGCAGTAACCTATTCAAATTCATGATTGGAAATATTGAACTATTTGTAAAAAAATTTAGATTGGCAAATACTTACGTGACCACCCCCTCCATCCATAAATCTCAAAAGCCTAGGACGAATAACACGAACGTATCTAAATACAACGAGATCATAAAGTAAATTATATGTATGTATGTATGTATGTATGTATAAGTCGAGAAAAATTTTTTAATAGCTTACGGGGGTACAAAAGGATAATCAGGTGCAAATCTAACTTCCAAATCAATAGAATTTACTCTGTTTCTTGCCATGTCTTGCGCAAGTGGTAGACTAGAATCAAAGTTCGTAAGTTGAACAACCTATATAAATGATATTTTTAAAATTAAATCACGTTTTGATATTAAAGAATATTATATACATAATAAAATATTACAAACCCATTGATATACTGATCGTAATCTATTGGTATCAATAAAGAATCCTAAATCATTAGATGATTCTGATTGTTTGTGTATAATTGTTCTTAGTTCTTTGCAAATACGTTGAGTAGCTCCCTTAGAAGATTCGGCTAAGAATATTAAAACAATGTTAATCCTATTTTGATAGAAATGGAAAAGGATATATTTATTTATTACATACCAGGGATAGGTAGTAACGTAAGGTCTATGCCATCTATTAAATTGTAGAATGAATTTTAGTAGTAACTAAATAGGTATATAATTACTATTTTATTCGATAATACTGTTTGCTTTACCGTCGTCGT